TACAAAGCGCTCGATGAACACGACAAACAGCAGATTGAGCAAGAAAGTTCCAACAGGCACAAGGGATTTAGAAGTGAGGAAGACATGTCGAAAGAAGCAGCTCGTCTAGCTAGTTTATTGTAAACGTCATTTTTCAAATGCTGTAATTCTAAAATGATGGAAGTGTATGTGAATCTGGAGGTGATAAGAATGCATGCAGACTCAGCGTGCTCTCTTAGTTCCGTGATCAATCTTTACTTACCTTACCTTGTGGAAGTCACGGTTGTTGTATCGGATGGTAGAATCACGACAAGTGAGATTAGAGGAAGTGCTGGTATGAAACCGTTGAGTTTGGAAACTGGAATAAATTGTTAAATGTTAGGTCAGTTAATAAAAGTACCAAATATGGACTTGAAATATTGAACTGTTATTATTCAATCTAATCAATCCATCAGTCAATCTGTCTGTCTGTCAGTCTTTTCCTCTGTCTGTCTTTCTTTTGTTCTGTCTCTCTGTCTCTCTATCTTTCTGTTCGTCTGTCGTTCTGTCTGTGTCTTTTTGTCTGCCTTTCTGTCTATCTTTCTGTCTGTCTGTCGTTCCGTCTGTCTTTCTGTCTATCTGTCTGTCTGTCTGTCTCCCTGCCTGCCTGCCTGCCTGCATGCATGCCAGAGAGTCAGTTCAGTGAGGCAGGTAGTCTCAACCTAATTAGTATGGTGTTTTTATTCCCAGGCTATAAGGTTTTTTTAATAAAGTTCTCACTCACTCACAGTCCGTCCGTCAATCCGTGTTGCGATTGTGATTTGTTTTTGGAGAACACACGAGAGTCGTGTTACACACAATAGTCCACTACGATCATATGGTAATCGAAAATCAGCCCTATCGAAATAGGCACAAGAGCCTCCAGGTAATTAAAAAGTTAACTAGGTTACAACTGGGGCGACCTGAACAAGATTAACTCCATTAATGTAACCTGAGTATCGGGCCTTGGAAGGCAAGGAGAGAAGGTAGAAAAGCTTGATACTCAGGCTAGTACTTTTATTAACAGCTATTCAATACCGGAGTTCCTGATTCATGATGGCTCAGAAGGCAGCGCTGTTTATAAAGTTAAGGTCATAAGTGACCTTCAGTCTGGCCCAAGTTGTTTGAAAGGTGGATAACGCTATCCTGGCTATCCACCGGATAAATCACTTTCCAGNCCCCCCGGGATTAACTCCATTAATGTAACCTGAGTATCGGGCCTTCGAAGGCAAGGGGAGAAGGTAGAAAAGCTTGATACTCAGGCTAGTACTTTTATTAACAGCTGTTCAATACCGGAGTTCCTGATTCATGGTGGCTCAGAAGGCAGCGCTGTTTATAAAGTTAAGGTCATAAGTGACCTTCAGTCTGGCCCAAGTTGTTTGAAAGGTGGATAACGCTATCCTGGCTATCCACCGGATAAATCACTTTCCAGTGGATAGCATAGTTTGTTTCGTTAACACTTATGCACTGGATAGCAGTTTATCCGGTGGTTAGTGTTATCCAGCCTTCGAACAACCGGAGCCTAGTCTGCAACTTTCGCAGAGCGTAGAGAAGGCCCTAAGAAGAAAGTTGACGGAAAATCGCTCGGCTAAACAGTGGACTACTTCCCGGATAGAATGGCATTTATTTACATTCGTCTGCCAGATAATTATAATTAATTCTCGGGATAAACAAAACAAATACAAAACATCTTCTTTTGAAGACTTTAAAGTTAAGCTTAATATTAAACATGCATCTAACCTACGCCACCCGACAAAAAAAAAATTACAATCATAATTGATCAACTGCTAACAATTAAATGACTCAAAAATACCGCGTCTAGGAAAAAAAATTTCCCCTAGTTTATCTTGTTTTCTCAATCATCCCTTCAGTGTGCAAGTGAAAAACATAAAAGATACTGTTAATTGATAGTTATTAGCCTAATTCCCAGAAATATACAGTCAGCGTTCGCAAGATTAGCACTTACACAGGATTATTTAGGTTTCAACCTTGTTACTTTTAAAAATTGGCATTCTCTTCTCACGTACGGCTACCCAAGTTCAAACGCGCGTTGAAGGCAATTAAGGCAGTGGGTACAGGATTGTTTTTGGACTCTCTTAGACTCCAGGAATCATGGTCTGCACAGGTGCCACAGGGCAGGAATCACTGGACCCTCCACACTTCCAACCACTGCTGTCCCTAGGCTTCAAGCAGACAAAGCAGAAATCCTTGCCGCATCTGCAGTGCATGTGCTTACAAGCTTCCGTGTGCTCAATCAGCGAGCCGCAAAATACGCATGCTCGGTAGATGGGGCATCCCTCAACTCCACCAATTTTCTTAGTGGGGCACTCACGTAGAGTCTTGAGACGTTTGTCTTCACCGGAACAGTCAGCGTTTCCTAGTATAGAGAGTAAACAGAAGAGCTTAAAACTTAGAGGCCGGAACACAGAAAATAGCCATCTTTCAGTACGGATAGCATATGAAAATGCAACGTTTGAATAAAGAATTTTGAGCAACAAAGCGGTTAGTCAGAACAGTAATGTAAATTATCATTTAATTTCATTTAAATTGGCTGAGAATGAACCGGCGGGGCAGTTATCTACTGTTCATCGTAATACATCTACATGTTTTCGCTCAAAGGTACCTGAAATATCTCTTTAATTTTCCATTTGGTGTTTCATTTTTATGTGTATTTAATTAGATTTGGTTTTTGAACTGATCTAGTTGCAGAATTTGATGAGTGTCGCCGCGTGCACTTTTTTCAGGTACTGGCTCCCTATATATTTTGTTGTTCTTAATTACGTTCATCCCTGAAAATTATTCTAAAACAATCAATACTATACTGTCCAGTTTCATATATACTCAGTCTTCGTAGGAAATAGAACTGTTCAAGACAACGGGTCTTCAGAGGCGCGTAATATGCGAAGTTCCAAGTATGGGGCTACCAAACTCGAAAGATAGGGTATAAAGCAATTCAAATATATCTCCATTTCCTTATTTTTATTCTGTGGTTCAGCACCTGTTTCGGTCTGGTTACAAGCCTGTATAGTCTTCACATATCGCTTCTGGGGGAGGAGGGAAGGGTGAGGAAGCCCTACACTACTGGCATCCTATCCGGGGTGGAGTAGGGAGTAGATGGTGCTCTTTGTAACTTCACGCCAATGAAACTAGACACCTGGACACAAGCGCCCAGCCTAAGCATGGTTGCCACAGACCTCACTTTTCAAAATTCCCTGACTTTTTGATGACTTTTCCCTGATTAAAATCAAATTTCCCTGATCAAATAAATACAAAATGTCAGATCTAGTAGCGGCTTCTGGCCTCAACTTACAGCTGTTCTTTCCGCCCATTCATAAAGACTCGTAAGTTTTCAAAAACAATTTTCTTCTTCATGATAGAAAAAATATCATTGAGATCACAGTGACCCCAAATGATTCGTCCAGATCTCATGATATTAATCAGCCGTGTTAAATTATTTCAATTTTCGCCGACTTCTCCTCAAAATGTCAATTTTCCCCTGACTTAAAGTAAAATTCCCTGACCTTGAAGAATTGTTTTCCCTGATCATTTCCTGACCTGTGGCAGCCATGCCAAGGCTCGAACGCAGGCTGGGGTTTGCTTATAGGTAAGCACTCGCGTCTGAACCTAGCTACTGGTGCATGGCCAACCCACTCACTCACTCACCGTCCCGGCTGCACATAGGACATAAGGCCGTACTGGCACCAAAGTTAAATCATAAATCTTTCTCCCGGAGTTTAAATATATACTCTTTCACATATGCACTTGTATTTCGTCATCATCTACAGGTATATTACAAGCTCACAACGTGACCACCTTCCCGACAGTTGGCTTGATAGCTCCGACAGTTGGAAGAGTTATTACAGAGACCTTGGGTTCGAATCCCGTTCAAACTGCCTATATTTTGCGTACGAAAGGCGATGCATGATCTTTAATATTTTGTAATCTTTATCCCGCAGTTCAAATATATGATCTTTGATATGCCGTAAAGCCCTGGGCTTATATAACTTGATAAGGGATTTTGGGTGGGCTTATAAACCGGGGAGCTTATATCCGGGGGGGAGGGCATATAAGCGGAATAAAAAAATGTTTCGGAACGACGAGATAAAACGCATCTGAGAAAAGAATTAAAGCTACCATTACATTTGGAGCTATTATCCTATTAGCCTGTAACTTTGGATTAAAAATTTTGATGTTTGTAAAGAAATGCAAAAGGAACGCACTTATACATTAGATGGGCCTATATCCGGGGGGAGGCTTATATCCGGAAGTGTATCTTTGTTAGCAAATAGAAGGGCTTATATCCGGGGGGGGGGCTTTAACGTAGGGCTTTAAGGTATTCACTTGTATATTACAACAGTCTTACCACACTGAGTCCTGCTGTCTCGATTGTACCACTCCTTCAAGCAGTGCCAGCAGAACTCGTATGTTTTTCCATCATTCTTACTGCATACAGTGCAACGCAACTGCAAATCTTTTTTGTCGTTTCGCTCCACCATTGACTTGCATTTTGGACATTCTTGAATGCCCATAGCCTTGAACAAGTGATTCGTGGCGATCTTATCTTCAAACTCCTCTTTTTCTTCATCTGTTAAAACGGCCAGGCGTCGAACATCTAAGTAATCCCATTCTGTATTACAATGTTTGGGTGGCTGGTCCTGGCTAATGTGTGGACAGAAAAATCGCCATTTGCCTTCGTTCAAGATGTTTCGACAATACAAGGTCAGAGAGTCTGGAGCTAAAAGAAAAACATTCAGCGTTTAACGTTCTGAAAATATCCAAACTGCAAAGATATTAAATCTGATTAAGGGTCGCTATTTGAGCTCATTTGCCGAAAAATACGAGTTCAAATGGCCAAAGTTGTTCTACCTTCCTCCTGCCACCTTTAAGCGCCTTTCTTCGCTCACACGTGGAATGATGGAAGCCCTGTGGCTTAAGATCATTGAAGGTATTGTAAGTAAGTTCGCTGACACGTAAAATGAACATTGCGTCAAAAGACGGTCGCACCGGCAGGAATGCAGGTTTTCGGCATTTCTTGCATTCACTATCAGTTAAATAAGAGGTCATTTAAGGCTATCCACCGCCCGTTAACGCATCTAGGAGAGGGTTTTAAGGATCGCCTGGTAAAAGTTATTCAGATGTGTCAGCTATCATTTAATTAATAACCTTCGAGTTTAAGAAAACCAGTCAAGGTTTGACCGTTTCTCTAGTCAACTGTAAATAAGGCCCCATTAGAAGTATTGGGAGTGGAATTGGAAAGCTATCACAAACTATAGTTTTGAACTGCGAACGAGATGTCAAACTGGTCAAATCCCAACTGAAAACAATGGCAGCCAAATATAGTCAGAATCTCTTACTTATAGCGTGCCCGCAAGGCATCTTGACCCGTTTGTTTTCGGGATCGTCATCCCACGTGATCATATCCGGGGCATCGCTGAGCTCCACTGTGTGATCCAGTACTTTCACCCGGGTCTGCTCTGATCCGCCACGCAATCGGAAAACAAGAAACAGTGTGGAATGTTTCTCAATGCCATAGTATGACAGGCATTTATCGCTCTGCAATTCCTTGACGCCATAAAGCAAACGACTCCCTTCCACTGGTATCTTAGTCTTTTTTGACAGCAACTCAAATACCCTGCCAACCGTGGCATCCTGTGCATGAAAGAAAACCGACATTGGGCGACGTTACGAACGGACAGGATATATCACTGAGGAAGGAAAATGTTTGAACCCATTCAAATTTTGCGACTGCAGAAAGATTTGCCAAACTAGAGCTTCTAACTTGTTATTTCGGTTGCTATTGAGTTCTTTTTTCACGTACAATTTTAAAATATAGTGCAAAATCAAATAATTGCACGTGTTGCGTTAAGCGTCTTTTGAAGTTCAATCCACAGGAGGAGCCGCTTGAAATGGTCGTCACTCTTCGGGTCACGACACCAGTGATATGCCCACAGTCATTGCTGTATGCGGTTTTCGTCTTCAAATTAGGCCATTTCCGAGTTGCGTTTACCTCTGTTTCAAAACGAGTCTTAGTGCACAACTTTTCATATGAAAGTGAGATTTTCTTGCACGTTCACTATCTTGTAGCCTGCTAAGGCAGACGTATTTCCGGCTATCGCTTGTCTCCGCCGAAAAATAATGTCTGCGAACTCGTGTCAGAAAACGATTTTTTTAGCGTAGGAATTCTAAGCCAATCATAGTTTAGCTCAAATAACCCCAGAATTAACCGCGACGTATTCACGCGAGTCACAAGGGTAAACTTCAACAACAATGTGGGTAATTAGATAATGTTGACGCTGTATTCAGTAAAGTTTGCGGTGTTTTGGGGTTTAAAACTCCCAGTGAACACCAAAACAACGCTCTGAAATTTGTTGTTGAGAAGAAGAAAGATGTTTTTGTTAATCTGCCAACTGGATTTGGAAAATCTGTTATTTTTGAAGTCACGCCGCAGTTGTATTCGTGTGTGGAACCATGAAAGCCGAAAATTCTCGTAATTAATCGTCTTTTCTCCCCTCGTAAGCAGCTAGCCTGCGAACGCAGACGTATTTACGGCCGTCAGTTGGTTCCAAACAAACCTAGCTCGGAGGTTGAGATCTTTTTCGGTTTCAGTTCGCCAGCGCTCAATGCGAACGAATTACACATTCTAAAATCATCACCGGTTCCCGGTTCCCGCTGGCAGCGTCGCGCGTGTAGGCGAGTGTCATATTCTATCGGGGAATTTTACTGGATAACAACTAAACAAACGTTTTGACGTTACTGAAATCAACTCTCTCGCTCATCCCCAGAGGCCGCGCTCTTTTTGGTCAACACTAAGAATCGCGGCCTCTGAGCCTCTGGGTCGTCTGGGAAGGTCCAATTTTCTGAGCATGCGCGGAGTAATCGTTTGGTATTCTCAGCCACTCAGATTTGTCAGACTTGACTCTGAGCATGCGCAGAGTGACGGAAAGTCCGTGAATCGCGGACTTCTGGTGTTGGACCTTCCCAAAGGTCGCGATTCTTGGTGCTGAACAAAAGGTTCGCAGACGTTATTTTCGGTGGAACCAAGTGGCACCTGGGTATATGTTCGCAGGCTGACTGTCTTGCAAATCAAATTCATTTCCTCACTCAGAATCCTAACTCGTTATCCTTGCTGGAGGTCCACCTTGAAATCCTGACCCGAAGAATAAACAGGTACCTTACATTTATTATGGAATACCGTAGAATTCCGAAAGTAGCGGCCCCCGTTATTTTCGGATTTAGCAGCCAAAAGGGGCCGCTACTTTCCGGTAGCCGTTACTTACGTGTAGCCGTTACCTTCGGATGGCTAAAAAACGTTTGTACAGTAACAGTCGTTTCAGACAAAGCGGACTTGTAGCAAAAGAAAATAAACGTTCCGTTTATGTATGTTACTAACTACCCACATAAACAAAGCAGCCGTATAAACAAGAAAAAGGCCCTAAACCGGTTGGTACTGTGAGCGAATCGAAAGTGTAATGGTCGCATTATATCGCAATGCAATTGATTACCCTACAGTAAATCATTTGACTCTAAAATTCAGTCAATTTCGGAATAAATTAAATCACAGATAGCTCTTCAAGTCAATGTTCAGTCCTGCGGTCAGGCTGTTCCATCCGGCCGCATGACCCGCGGTTGAGAACAGAGACTTCCTCTTTTAGTGACTTCTTCAAAAGGGCCGCTATTTTCGGGGGGACCGTTGCTTTCGGGGTTCAATAGGAAGGAAAAAACTTAACGTTACTTTCGGGGAGCCGTTATTTTCGGAGGGGCCATTACTTTCGGAATTCTACGGTGTACTTATTGATTTATTTGCCTATTTATTTACGTAATAAAGTCAAGAATTCTTCAACGTTTGTTTCTCATGGAGTTGCTTCCTATTATGTGTGAAAATAAAGACAAAAAGACAGGTTGTGCAATTTTTTCGGCTCGGCAGCCTGCATTTCATTTGTATTTATGTTAATCTCGAAAAAATAAGAAATAAATGAAAATCGCTTCAATGTATCAACATTTTAAATCAAAGAAATGTTCAAGTTAATTTTGGTCTCGTTACCTTGTGACTGGATAACGTCATTTTCCATATAAAGAAGTAAGCAAGAAAAAAAATCCATTTCTCGATTTCGAGAAAAATTGGGACGAAAAGCAATGAATTATTTTTTTTCAATATTGTTTTGAGACGAGAGATGGAACTTTTAGTGATTGCTTACCTTTCAGTCAGGGTTTAGATATCATTTTTTCTACCGAAAAAAGACCAATTTCGATATGTTAAAATTCAGCCTACCACAATAGACCTCAGCATGAGGCTCTGGGGAAAAAACCCCACAAACTCTGTAGTTATTCCCCAGAGCTTCGTACTGAGGTCTATTGTTTCAGGCTGTTGGTCTGAAATCGCGTGATATGCGATCTTGTGTGATGATCGTGGACGTAGCGACTGTTTGCGAAATCTAAGAACATCTATAAACGACAGTTTCATTTTACGTTGCACATTCGATTAGTGGTGCTATAAGCAGGCTTGGCATGGAATACAGAGATGGGTACGACTCACAATAATAAAGCTAACGACTTCAAAATGCCGGAAGCCTTTTCTGCATCTCCCTTTGTGTCGATAGCGAAAATTTAAAAGTGGCCAAAATTTTCATTAATCGCTGAGTCGATTTTCGCGATTATTCTCTGATTTAGCCCATGTATTATACCTTATGAATCTCTATGGTGGTCGACCGTCCCTCTATGCCCTTGATGAATATCTGGATTTCATCCGGTTCCATCGTAAATAATAGGTAACTACTGAAGGAAGAACAGGAAAGATTACATTCAGTTAACCTTCGCAGCGACCTCGATAACCCAAACAATGTCTGAACGAATAGGACGATCTTTTGGAAAGTTCTCAGTACCTTACAAGGTTTATGGAAGCTCGCAGAAAACAGAATGATCCCGATTCCGATCAGTTCCCGATAACAAAGAACACACGAACCGGTCAGAACCGGAGGACAAAGCCGGTTGTTTAATCGAAGAAGCGATTTTCATTTTTGACGGAAAATTCCGCGAGCCTTCGATTGGCCAACGTTATAATGTCACCTTGGTTTTCTTGGAAAGTCCCCAAAACGAAAGGGGTTTTCCCGGATTGCTCAAGTCCTTTTATGGTCATAATCTTGTCAAATCGGCTTGAAAAAGACTTTTACTATTAAAAGGGTTTAGCTTCGCTGCCATTTGTCCCTCTTTGGAGCCTCAGAGTCGGTACATACGTTCTGCAGCAGTTCTTGTGCTTTCCAGAGTGAACGTAATTTGATTTTTTCTTGGCAAAATTTCAAATTTGAGTTTCTCGGAAACTTTGATTGGCCGATGAGTCTTGGGCGACTTCCAGTATTTACATTCAATAGCTTCTGAGCGACAGTTATAAATTTCCTGGGTTTTTTCCCTGAGAGTTCGAAAGTTGCAGATATGACGAGCTTAAGAAGAGATCTTATTTCAAGGTAAGAAAATTCCACTCTATTTATAACTACATACCGTACAAAATCATTCATGTTTAAGCTTGGAGAAGCTTGGATAAAAGTAGAAGATAAGGCAATCGTTATCCTCTCCGATAAACAATTGCCTCGTGTTCCCCAAAAGCTGCACATATGCAAATCTTCAAAGAAACTTGGTTTGTGACAGTTATGGATAACCATTCTAAAGATGAAGTAAATTAGTGTCTGCAAGGAATACCGATCAACGACAGAAAACATTGTTTTTTTCTCAATCCTTTTTCCGCCGATTAAAATGGTGGTAGAGTCGGGTAGCGTGGAGCATGTTGTGAGGGTGTGGAGAGGCTGGGAATGGTGGTCACATCTCGTTGCGTAGTTTAATTAATGTACCTTAGAATCCAAAAAACACCGAGTTTGTGGGGTTTATTCCCCGGTGCCTCGTATTGAGGACTGTTGTGTTAGGCTGAATTTTAATATATCGAAATTGGTCTCAAATCATGTGATATTCGATTTTTTGTGACGATCGTGGACGTAGCGACTGTTTGCGAAATCTAAGAACATCTATAAACGACAGTTTCATTTTACGTTGCACATTCTATTAGTGGTGCTATAAGCAGGCTTGGCATGGAATACAGAGATGGGTACGACTCACAATAATAAAGCTAACGACTTCAAAATGCCGGAAGCCTTTTCTGCATCTCCCTTTGTGTCGATAGCGAAAATTTAAAAGTGGCCAAAATTTTCATTAATCGCTGAGTCGATTTTCGCGATTATTCTCTGATTTAGCCCATGTATTATACCTTATGAATCTCTATGGTGGTCGACCGTCCCTCTATGCCCTTGATGAATATCTGGATTTCATCCGGTTCCATCGTAAATAATAGGTAACTACTGAAGGAAGAACAGGAAAGATTACATTCAGTTAACCTTCGCAGCGACCTCGATAACCCAAACAATGTCTGAACGAATAGGACGATCTTTTGGAAAGTTCTCAGTACCTTACAAGGTTTATGGAAGCTCGCAGAAAACAGAATGATCCCGATTCCGATCAGTTCCCGATAACAAAGAACACACGAACCGGTCAGAACCGGAGGACAAAGCCGGTTGTTTAATCGAAGAAGCGATTTTCATTTTTGACGGAAAATTCCGCGAGCCTTCGATTGGCCAACGTTATAATGTCACCTTGGTTTTCTTGGAAAGTCCCCAAAACGAAAGGGGTTTTCCCGGATTGCTCAAGTCCTTTTATGGTCATAATCTTGTCAAATCGGCTTGAAAAAGACTTTTACTATTAAAAGGGTTTAGCTTCGCTGCCATTTGTCCCTCTTTGGAGCCTCAGAGTCGGTACATACGTTCTGCAGCAGTTCTTGTGCTTTCCAGAGTGAACGTAATTTGATTTTTTCTTGGCAAAATTTCAAATTTGAGTTTCTCGGAAACTTTGATTGGCCGATGAGTCTTGGGCGACTTCCAGTATTTACATTCAATAGCTTCTGAGCGACAGTTATAAATTTCCTGGGTTTTTTCCCTGAGAGTTCGAAAGTTGCAGATATGACGAGCTTAAGAAGAGATCTTATTTCAAGGTAAGAAAATTCCACTCTATTTATAACTACATACCGTACAAAATCATTCATGTTTAAGCTTGGAGAAGCTTGGATAAAAGTAGAAGATAAGGCAATCGTTATCCTCTCCGATAAACAATTGCCTCGTGTTCCCCAAAAGCTGCACATATGCAAATCTTCAAAGAAACTTGGTTTGTGACAGTTATGGATAACCATTCTAAAGATGAAGTAAATTAGTGTCTGCAAGGAATACCGATCAACGACAGAAAACATTGTTTTTTTCTCAATCCTTTTTCCGCCGATTAAAATGGTGGTAGAGTCGGGTAGCGTGGAGCATGTTGTGAGGGTGTGGAGAGGCTGGGAATGGTGGTCACATCTCGTTGCGTAGTTTAATTAATGTACCTTAGAATCCAAAAAACACCGAGTTTGTGGGGTTTATTCCCCGGTGCCTCGTATTGAGGACTGTTGTGTTAGGCTGAATTTTAATATATCGAAATTGGTCTCAAATCATGTGATATTCGATTTTTTGTGACGATCGTGGACGTAGCGACTGTTTGCGAAATCTAAGAACATCTATAAACGACAGTTTCATTTTACGTTGCACATTCTATTAGTGGTGCTATAAGCAGGCTTGGCATGGAATACAGAGATGGGTACGACTCACAATAATAAAGCTAACGACTTCAAAATGCCGGAAGCCTTTTCTGCATCTCCCTTTGTGTCGATAGCGAAAATTTAAAAGTGGCCAAAATTTTCATTAATCGCTGAGTCGATTTTCGCGATTATTCTCTGATTTAGCCCATGTATTATACCTTATGAATCTCTATGGTGGTCGACCGTCCCTCTATGCCCTTGATGAATATCTGGATTTCATCCGGTTCCATCGTAAATAATAGGTAACTACTGAAGGAAGAACAGGAAAGATTACATTCAGTTAACCTTCGCAGCGACCTCGATAACCCAAACAATGTCTGAACGAATAGGACGATCTTTTGGAAAGTTCTCAGTACCTTACAAGGTTTATGGAAGCTCGCAGAAAACAGAATGATCCCGATTCCGATCAGTTCCCGATAACAAAGAACACACGAACCGGTCAGAACCGGAGGACAAAGCCGGTTGTTTAATCGAAGAAGCGATTTTCATTTTTGACGGAAAATTCCGCGAGCCTTCGATTGGCCAACGTTATAATGTCACCTTGGTTTTCTTGGAAAGTCCCCAAAACGAAAGGGGTTTTCCCGGATTGCTCAAGTCCTTTTATGGTCATAATCTTGTCAAATCGGCTTGAAAAAGACTTTTACTATTAAAAGGGTTTAGCTTCGCTGCCATTTGTCCCTCTTTGGAGCCTCAGAGTCGGTACATACGTTCTGCAGCAGTTCTTGTGCTTTCCAGAGTGAACGTAATTTGATTTTTTCTTGGCAAAATTTCAAATTTGAGTTTCTCGGAAACTTTGATTGGCCGATGAGTCTTGGGCGACTTCCAGTATTTACATTCAATAGCTTCTGAGCGACAGTTATAAATTTCCTGGGTTTTTTCCCTGAGAGTTCGAAAGTTGCAGATATGACGAGCTTAAGAAGAGATCTTATTTCAAGGTAAGAAAATTCCACTCTATTTATAACTACATACCGTACAAAATCATTCATGTTTAAGCTTGGAGAAGCTTGGATAAAAGTAGAAGATAAGGCAATCGTTATCCTCTCCGATAAACAATTGCCTCGTGTTCCCCAAAAGCTGCACATATGCAAATCTTCAAAGAAACTTGGTTTGTGACAGTTATGGATAACCATTCTAAAGATGAAGTAAATTAGTGTCTGCAAGGAATACCGATCAACGACAGAAAACATTGTTTTTTTCTCAATCCTTTTTCCGCCGATTAAAATGGTGGTAGAGTCGGGTAGCGTGGAGCATGTTGTGAGGGTGTGGAGAGGCTGGGAATGGTGGTCACATCTCGTTGCGTAGTTTAATTAATGTACCTTAGAATCCAAAAAACACCGAGTTTGTGGGGTTTATTCCCCGGTGCCTCGTATTGAGGACTGTTGTGTTAGGCTGAATTTTAATATATCGAAATTGGTCTCAAATCATGTGATATTCGATTTTTTGTGACGATCGTGGACGTAGCGACTGTTTGCGAAATCTAAGAACATCTATAAACGACAGTTTCATTTTACGTTGCACATTCTATTAGTGGTGCTATAAGCAGGCTTGGCATGGAATACAGAGATGGGTACGACTCACAATAATAAAGCTAACGACTTCAAAATGCCGGAAGCCTTTTCTGCATCTCCCTTTGTGTCGATAGCGAAAATTTAAAAGTGGCCAAAATTTTCATTAATCGCTGAGTCGATTTTCGCGATTATTCTCTGATTTAGCCCATGTATTATACCTTATGAATCTCTATGGTGGTCGACCGTCCCTCTATGCCCTTGATGAATATCTGGATTTCATCCGGTTCCATCGTAAATAATAGGTAACTACTGAAGGAAGAACAGGAAAGATTACATTCAGTTAACCTTCGCAGCGACCTCGATAACCCAAACAATGTCTGAACGAATAGGACGATCTTTTGGAAAGTTCTCAGTACCTTACAAGGTTTATGGAAGCTCGCAGAAAACAGAATGATCCCGATTCCGATCAGTTCCCGATAACAAAGAACACACGAACCGGTCAGAACCGGAGGACAAAGCCGGTTGTTTAATCGAAGAAGCGATTTTCATTTTTGACGGAAAATTCCGCGAGCCTTCGATTGGCCAACGTTATAATGTCACCTTGGTTTTCTTGGAAAGTCCCCAAAACGAAAGGGGTTTTCCCGGATTGCTCAAGTCCTTTTATGGTCATAATCTTGTCAAATCGGCTTGAAAAAGACTTTTACTATTAAAAGGGTTTAGCTTCGCTGCCATTTGTCCCTCTTTGGAGCCTCAGAGTCGGTACATACGTTCTGCAGCAGTTCTTGTGCTTTCCAGAGTGAACGTAATTTGATTTTTTCTTGGCAAAATTTCAAATTTGAGTTTCTCGGAAACTTTGATTGGCCGATGAGTCTTGGGCGACTTCCAGTATTTACATTCAATAGCTTCTGAGCGACAGTTATAAATTTCCTGGGTTTTTTCCCTGAGAGTTCGAAAGTTGCAGATATGACGAGCTTAAGAAGAGATCTTATTTCAAGGTAAGAAAATTCCACTCTATTTATAACTACATACCGTACAAAATCATTCATGTTTAAGCTTGGAGAAGCTTGGATAAAAGTAGAAGATAAGGCAATCGTTATCCTCTCCGATAAACAATTGCCTCGTGTTCCCCAAAAGCTGCACATATGCAAATCTTCAAAGAAACTTGGTTTGTGACAGTTATGGATAACCATTCTAAAGATGAAGTAAATTAGTGTCTGCAAGGAATACCGATCAACGACAGAAAACATTGTTTTTTTCTCAATCCTTTTTCCGCCGATTAAAATGGTGGTAGAGTCGGGTAGCGTGGAGCATGTTGTGAGGGTGTGGAGAGGCTGGGAATGGTGGTCACATCTCGTTGCGTAGTTTAATTAATGTACCTTAGAATCCAAAAAACACCGAGTTTGTGGGGTTTATTCCCCGGTGCCTCGTATTGAGGACTGTTGTGTTAGGCTGAATTTTAATATATCGAAATTGGTCTCAAATCATGTGATATTCGATTTTTTGTGACGATCGTGGACGTAGCGACTGTTTGCGAAATCTAAGAACATCTATAAACGACAGTTTCATTTTACGTTGCACATTCTATTAGTGGTGCTATAAGCAGGCTTGGCATGGAATACAGAGATGGGTACGACTCACAATAATAAAGCTAACGACTTCAAAATGCCGGAAGCCTTTTCTGCATCTCCCTTTGTGTCGATAGCGAAAATTTAAAAGTGGCCAAAATTTTCATTAATCGCTGAGTCGATTTTCGCGATTATTCTCTGATTTAGCCCATGTATTATACCTTATGAATCTCTATGGTGGTCGACCGTCCCTCTATGCCCTTGATGAATATCTGGATTTCATCCGGTTCCATCGTAAATAATAGGTAACTACTGAAGGAAGAACAGGAAAGATTACATTCAGTTAACCTTCGCAGCGACCTCGATAACCCAAACAATGTCTGAACGAATAGGACGATCTTTTGGAAAGTTCTCAGTACCTTACAAGGTTTATGGAAGCTCGCAGAAAACAGAATGATCCCGATTCCGATCAGTTCCCGATAACAAAGAACACACGAACCGGTCAGAACCGGAGGACAAAGCCGGTTGTTTAATCGAAGAAGCGATTTTCATTTTTGACGGAAAATTCCGCGAGCCTTCGATTGGCCAACGTTATAATGTCACCTTGGTTTTCTTGGAAAGTCCCCAAAACGAAAGGGGTTTTCCCGGATTGCTCAAGTCCTTTTATGGTCATAATCTTGTCAAATCGGCTTGAAAAAGACTTTTACTATTAAAAGGGTTTAGCTTCGCTGCCATTTGTCCCTCTTTGGAGCCTCAGAGTCGGTACATACGTTCTGCAGCAGTTCTTGTGCTTTCCAGAGTGAACGTAATTTGATTTTTTCTTGGCAAAATTTCAAATTTGAGTTTCTCGGAAACTTTGATTGGCCGATGAGTCTTGGGCGACTTCCAGTATTTACATTCAATAGCTTCTGAGCGACAGTTATAAATTTCCTGGGTTTTTTCCCTGAGAGTTCGAAAGTTGCAGATATGACGAGCTTAAGAAGAGATCTTATTTCAAGGTAAGAAAATTCCACTCTATTTATAACTACATACCGTACAAAATCATTCATGTTTAAGCTTGGAGAAGCTTGGATAAAAGTAGAAGATAAGGCAATCGTTATCCTCTCCGATAAACAATTGCCTCGTGTTCCCCAAAAGCTGCACATATGCAAATCTTCAAAGAAACTTGGTTTGTGACAGTTATGGATAACCATTCTAAAGATGAAGTAAATTAGTGTCTGCAAGGAATACCGATCAACGACAGAAAACATTGTTTTTTTCTCAATCCTTTTTCCGCCGATTAAAATGGTGGTAGAGTCGGGTAGCGTGGAGCATGTTGTGAGGGTGTGGAGAGGCTGGGAATGGTGGTCACATCTCGTTGCGTAGTTTAATTAATGTACCTTAGAATCCAAAAAACACCGAGTTTGTGGGGTTTATTCCCCGGTGCCTCGTATTGAGGACTGTTGTGTTAGGCTGAATTTTAATATATCGAAATTGGTCTCAAATCATGTGATATTCGATTTTTTGTGACGATCGTGGACGTAGCGACTGTTTGCGAAATCTAAGAACATCTATAAACGACAGTTTCATTTTACGTTGCACATTCTATTAGTGGTGCTATAAGCAGGCTTGGCATGGAATACAGAGATGGGTACGACTCACAATAATAAAGCTAACGACTTCAAAATGCCGGAAGCCTTTTCTGCATCTCCCTTTGTGTCGATAGCGAAAATTTAAAAGTGGCCAAAATTTTCATTAATCGCTGAGTCGATTTTCGCGATTATTCTCTGATTTAGCCCATGTATTATACCTTATGAATCTCTATGGTGGTCGACCGTCCCTCTATGCCCTTGATGAATATCTGGATTTCATCCGGTTCCATCGTAAATAATAGGTAACTACTGAAGGAAGAACAGGAAAGATTACATTCAGTTAACCTTCGCAGCGACCTCGATAACCCAAACAATGTCTGAACGAATAGGACGATCTTTTGGAAAGTTCTCAGTACCTTACAAGGTTTATGGAAGCTCGCAGAAAACAGAATGATCCCGATTCCGATCAGTTCCCGATAACAAAGAACACACGAACCGGTCAGAACCGGAGGACAAAGCCGGTTGTTTAATCGAAGAAGCGATTTTCATTTTTGACGGAAAATTCCGCGAGCCTTCGATTGGCCAACGTTATAATGTCACCTTGGTTTTCTTGGAAAGTCCCCAAAACGAAAGGGGTTTTCCCGGATTGCTCAAGTCCTTTTATGGTCATAATCTTGTCAAATCGGCTTGAAAAAGACTTTTACTATTAAAAGGGTTTAGCTTCGCTGCCATTTGTCCCTCTTTGGAGCCTCAGAGTCGGTACATACGTTCTGCAGCAGTTCTTGTGCTTTCCAGAGTGAACGTAATTTGATTTTTTCTTGGCAAAATTTCAAATTTGAGTTTCTCGGAAACTTTGATTGGCCGATGAGTCTTGGGCGACTTCCAGTATTTACATTCAATAGCTTCTGAGCGACAGTTATAAATTTCCTGGGTTTTTTCCCTGAGAGTTCGAAAGTTGCAGATATGACGAGCTTAAGAAGAGATCTTATTTCAAGGTAAGAAAATTCCACTCTATTTATAACTACATACCGTACAAAATCATTCATGTTTAAGCTTGGAGAAGCTTGGATAAAAGTAGAAGATAAGGCAATCGTTATCCTCTCCGATAAACAATTGCCTCGTGTTCCCCAAAAGCTGCACATATGCAAATCTTCAAAGAAACTTGGTTTGTGACAGTTATGGATAACCATTCTAAAGATGAAGTAAATTAGTGTCTGCAAGGAATACCGATCAACGACAGAAAACATTGTTTTTTTCTCAATCCTTTTTCCGCCGATTAAAATGGTGGTAGAGTCGGGTAGCGTGGAGCATGTTGTGAGGGTGTGGAGAGGCTGGGAATGGTGGTCACATCTCGTTGCGTAGTTTAATTAATGTACCTTAGAATCCAAAAAACACCGAGTTTGTGGGGTTTATTCCCCGGTGCCTCGTATTGAGGACTGTTGTGTTAGGCTGAATTTTAATATATCGAAATTGGTCTCAAATCATGTGATATTCGATTTTTTGTGACGATCGTGGACGTAGCGACTGTTTGCGAAATCTAAGAACATCTATAAACGACAGTTTCATTTTACGTTGCACATTCTATTAGTGGTGCTATAAGCAGACTTGGTATGGAATACAGAGATGGGTACGATCCACAGCAATAAAGCTAACGACTTCAAAAGGCCGGAAGCCTTTTCTGCATCTCCCTTTGTGTCGGTAGCGAAAATTTAAAAGTGGCCAAAATTTTCATCAATTGCTAAATCGATTTTCGCCCATGTACCATACCTTATGAATCTCTATGGTGGTCGACCGTCCCTCTATGCCCTTGATGAATATCTGGATTTCATCCGGTTCCATCGTATATAATAGGTAACTACTGAAGGAATAACAGGAAAGATTACATTCTTAACTTTCGCTGCGACTCGATAACCCAAATAAGGTCAGAATGAATAGGACGATCTTTTGGAAACTTCTTACCTTACAAGGTTTATGGAAGCTCGCAGAAAACAGAATGATCCGCGTTTGCACTTCCCGATAACAAAGAACACACGAACCGGTCAGAACTGGAGGACAAAGGGTTGTTAGTCGAAGAAACGATTTTCACTTTTGGGGGAAAACCCCCCGAGCCTTTGATTGGCCAACGTTATAACGTCACCTCGGTTTTCTTGGAAAGTCCGCAAAACGAAAGGGGTTTTCCCAGATTGATCAAGTCCTTTTATGGTCATAATCTTATCAAATCGACATGAAAAGACTTTTAATCTTGAAAAGGTTTAGCTTCGCTGCCATTTGTCATTGTTTGGAGTCTCAGAGTCGGTATATACGTTCTGCTGCAGTTCTTGTGTTTTTCAGAGTGAACGTAATTTGATTTTTTTAAGCAAAATTTCATATTTGAGTTTCTCGGAAACTTTGATTAGCGGATGAGTCTTGGATGACGGCCAATATTTACATTCAATAGTTTCTGAGCGACAGTTATAAATTTCCTGGGTTTTTTCCCTGAGAGTTCGAAAGTTGCAGATATGACGAGCTTAAGAAGAGATCTTATTTCAAGGTGAGAAAATTCCACTCTATTTATAACTACATACCGTACAAAATCATTCATGTTTAAGCTTGGAGAAGCTTGGATAAAAGTAGAAGATAAGGCAATCGTTATCCTCTCCGATAAACAATTGCCNTTATTTCAAGGTAAGAAAATTCCACTCTATTTATAACTACATACCGTACAAAATCATTCATGTTTAAGCTAAGAGAAGCTTGGATAAAAGTAGAAGATAAGGCAATTGTTATCCTCTCCGACAAACAATCACCTCGTGTCTTTCAAAAGCTGCACATATGCAAATCTTCAAAGAAACCTGGTTTGTGACAGTTATGGATAACCATTCTAAAGATGAAGTAAATTAGTATCTGCAAGGAATACCAATCAAAGATAGAAAACACCGTCTTTTTCTCAATCCTTTTTCCGCCGATTACATCGGTGGGAGATGCGATACGGAGTGGGGTAGCGCAGGGCATGGAGGGGGAGGGGGGTGGTGTTGGAAAGGCTGGGTGGTGGTGAACAAGTCCAGGGGCCTACCTGCCTCTTCAAATCAAACCAGAGGCCAAATTAGGTCTCTGCGACTGGATGTCTACACAGATATGGGTAAAATCACATGAATGGACTTGTCCTTTACCCACAGGACTTGTAGCAAGGATTCGTCCCCTCGTGTGTACTGACTTTTAACGTGGTTATTCCGCCAAAATCAAGGATTTTATTGAGGAATTTTGACAATGGTGTTACTTCAAGGCTTTCGTAAAAGGCGGAAGCAAACAACAAGCTTAACAGGCAAGAGTTGACACTCGGTACTCGGGTTTTTAAAGAGTTTTTGACTCAGTACAAGAGATCTGAGGCGCAAAGTATCAAAGGAAGGCTAATTGGCAACACGAAGAGTCCATTCCATAATCCCTCCCCCTTCTGAAACGGATACTCAAGTGGAACTGGAAACGAAGCAGTTTATCCAGACTAAATGACAGTAAATTACCAGTTAATATGCTGTGATTAGTTTCACATCAAAGTCTACTAAAGCTGAGAATATGAGCGAAATCAATTTTTCGGCTATTGCCACTATATTTCGAAAATGTGCAATTTTTGGCCCCATTCGCTCTTAAAAACGTCATAGTGTGCGCTTGGAAGAGAGTTCAGGCGCTGGACAAAGGTTGCAATGACTAATTATAAACCTAATTTAAAGGTTGAGCCACGGTGAAATTAATAACTTTTTATAAAATTTATTTGCACGAAGAAAATCGTGAAAGGAAGTGAGCTATGATAAGAAATGAGAGGGTCACAAACCATTTAAGAGAGTAAACTGCAAGTGAAGTTAGCGCAACCGGTACCAAGTCCTATCCTTGCTTATATTTCAGTTCCTTAGCGCGGGCGCTTACCGTGTTGGCGTGCTGTTCTGACATAAATTACGTGCGTAATAAGGATGCGCAGTAACAATGACTGCGAACGAGCATGCTTACTTCAGGAGGAGTTACACTGAACAATTTTTTATTCAACTTTACATCTTCAAATATATACAGAGAATGTTGCTACACATAAGTGATACAATCGGTGGAAACGGGACTGTTGGAGCTATTTTTCTCTCCAGGGATCTTGGTTTGGACGGGTGCTATAGTGTATGGTACATTGTACCTTGCGCACCTCATAGAAAGGGAAGAGGCAAGAGTGGAGAGGTAAGAGTGGAGAGTGGAGAGCGGAGAGGGGAGAGGGGGATGGAAGAGAGGAGATGGGAGAGGAAAGAGGACAGAGGGCTTAAGGATGAGTGGAGAGGTGGGAGAGGGAAGAGGGGAGGGAAGAGGGGAGGGAAGAGGGGAGGGAAGAGGGGAGAGGGGAGATGACAGAAAAGAGAGTGGAAGGCGGCAAAAGTGGAGTGATGGCCAGTACGAACAAACTACTTCCTGTTTCCAGATTGCGTTATCAATAACAATCACAAGCTGATAGTTTAACGTCAGCAAGAGTTTCCNCCATATCATCAACTATTTGCGCACTTTGATCGCTGCTTTTTGTTAAAGAAAACTTTTATGAAATGATCTGCCTCTCAGTTATCCTATAATATAGGAAAATCACATGCTGATGAAGTTGATTCCACTGGAAATTGCTCAAGAAAAAAAACGATAAGAAACAGAAGGAAAGCCAAACTAAAACCGCGCGCTGTTTTCAAAGACATTTCAAAGCCAAGCAAGTGATTCCGCGTGAAGTCACTCCTCATCTCCAGCCAAGTAGAGTGCTTTTTCACCGTGCGATTCAGCTTTGAGTATGCGATTTTATGAAGATTATCTTGCACGGCTGTCGTATTTAAGCAGTACTAAAATTTTAGAGCACAAAACACATTAGTACGCGCACATCGTCCAAAGGGTTAATGGAAGGCGCCCAGAAATTGTGACCGTCCCCTAAACGCGGGCCCGGAAAATGTTGGCCCGCCCCAAATGGGCGCCCAAAAAATTACAGCCCTCCCCCAAAATTAACCAGCCCCCCCCCCCCCCCTAGATAGTTAATGACCGCTCCCTTAGTACTTGTTCTCGAGTTGCGCTCACGAGGCAAGGCAATTTACTCTGGCTTCACGCGAGTACCCATTTTTACACCGACATTATGGAGAGAGGTAGGGTTGATTTGATGGAGCAGCTGAGCCTAGGGGTGAGGGGAAAGAGAGGGGAGATGGGAGAGGGGAAAGAGAAAGAAAGGGAAAAAGACACTTCCTTACTTATGGCGTGCCCGCAAGGCATCTTGGCTCTCTTGTTTCCGGGGTCATCGTCCCAAGTGATCATATCTGGGGCATCGCTGAGTTCCACAGCGTCGTCCAGTTCTTTCTCAGGTGGGATTGATGTCATCGATCCGCCAAGCAGTCGAAGAATGAGGAATACATTGGACTCATTCTGCATGCCGTAGTCGGACAGGCGTTTGCCTATCTCCAGTTGTTTCGTGGTGTACACCGCACGAAGCTGATCCTCTGGTACGCCGTTCTTTTTAGACACCACTGCAAAGAATTCCTTGACCGTAGCATCCTAAGTAAATATAATAACAGATGGTCTGGATAATAGCAGGCAAGTAACAATTTTTAAGAAATGGACAACAACTTTAAGTTTAAAACAAGACATGTTTCGATCGTTCAACGATCATCTTCAGTTGTGAATTCGTTTACAAGTTCGGTTGAATTAGTACAAGCAATGGCGTATAAGTGAAAACGTGATACAATCCAAAATTTCGAAAAAATTGACGTACAATTTTAAGAAGCGCGAGACATGGAATAACACTTGTGCGAGCACTACACTTAAATCAAGGAAGAAAATTGTAAAAAAATTGAAATAATTACAATGATTATAACACAAAATGTTATGAAAATTGCTTCCTTCAACAAAAGTTGTAGTTTGTTGGGTGCACAATCCACGATGGAAAAGCAGTTCTTATTAGCTAAACACCGACATGCCTGGGATTGCTGCAAATGCTGTTATACATATATGAGTTCCTGTCCCTGCTCAGATGCTCACGAACGCGCATCGAGAACTAGGTTATATGGTCATTTAATCGCTACTCCGAGTTTCATGCCTCATGCGAGGCAATCATCAGGCGACTGCCAGAAAAAACGGTTACATTCAAAGATAT